CTCGCTGATTCCCCACATCTCAGGATACCAATCTGTACAGGAAAAACTTCTGCAACTCTGGCAGCTGCATCTCTGACTGACAGCATTTTAAGGGAGACCCCTATGTTGGATAGTCAGAATTCTAACAGCGTTGCTATTACCTTGAAATCTAGTGGAGTGTTGCAGATCTTGGGGTGGTTGAGTGCACCATCCATAATGGATAAACCCTACTATTCAATCATAACACATGGCTTCAGCACCCAGCGCCGACTTGTGAAATGTAGCAATCATCTGTACTGACTGGCAAGCTTTCTTAATGATTCGGACATCCCTGACTGTTTGACGTGTCTGTGTGTGTGACTTTTTAACTGTTTTAAACCGCATATTGACCCTCTTCCAGGCGACAGTTTCAGTTGCCAGCCACTCACTTCTAGGTTGTAGGGAATGATCCTAACAAGGAAACCTTTATTAGCTGCAATGGTGTATGGGGCATGCTGTTTGATTTGCCTGTGGTGTGTGATTTTCGTGTGGTGTGAAAGTAGAAGTGTGTTAGTTATCCTAATCATTGTGGGATAGTTTCAGCCGTCAGACACTTACTCCTAGGCTGAAATCGACGGTCTTCAGCTAGCAGTTAAGCTTTATTAGTCGCAGTCGTGGTATCTGGGGATGCTGATTGTTTTACTTGCCTGCGGTGTGTTATATTTATATGGTGCGAGAGCAAAAATATGTGAGCTATCCTGTGTGATCGTTGTAGCTGTCTGACGTTTACTTCGAAACTGTGGGCAATTGATCTATAACTAGCAGCTAAGCCTCGTTCGTTGCACAGGCAGCACCAGGGCATGACGATTGTTGGACTCGCCTGTGGTGTGCGACTTAATACACATGAAAGCAAAAAAAAAAAGGTGAGCCGCTTCTTCCAACTGAATATCTGAGTTATTCAGAAACATTTCGCGAAAGCTGGCATAACCGACCAAATCGAGCGCGTATAGTTCTTTTCTCAAGAGGGACGCGACGCGCCTGTTTTTTATGGAGCGCCAGCGACTGCACTGGCCATGTTAGCGATCAGGGACCATGGCGGAACCTGGATTCGCTCCGGCCCCGTCGCGCGACAGTCCGGCGCGCCAACCACTGGGCCACTGCCGTCAGGCGACTGTCACTCCACTTTTTGAAATTCGGATATTCATTTGTCCCACGTCCTTTTGAGATGACGTTGCGGTGACTGTTCCCGCAAAAATAACCACTACCACAGTCAACGGAAGTACGACCACTCACGCAACAACATGAGAAAGTCAGCTATTATCAGCGCACACCGAAGGTCATTGGCCGTCTCGACCACAGCCGCAAACAACATAAGGAAGTCAGCTATTATCAGCGCACACCGGTAATGGCCGGCTCGACCACAGCCGCGAACAATGCTACCTCGAAAAGTGAAGCAATAGCAGTCGTGGCATCTAGCATGTGATATGATATTTTTTGGTGTTGTGGCATTTAACATTTCATCATGGCATTGGGTAAAGGCATCTCATCCCATTTACAATTGAGCTGGCTGAGCAAAGATACGTTAAGCTGACAGAAAAAAGACACGGTCTGATCGTTTCTCCATGCCGCGAACTGCTCACCAAACGTTAAGAGACCAGGAGCGCAAAATCCATCAGACAAGGAACGCGACAAAAGGTAAACACGACACCGGACGAATCCAGACTTGTACTCACCTATAAAATATGTTGTTGATCTGTTTTCGGATGTACGCGCGGAGTCCCAGGAACTTGCCGTAAATACGATGCAGCGTTGTCTTCAAAAAGTCCCTTTCCCTTGGGTCCTCTGAGTCGAATGAGTCCAGAAGCTGATAAGAAGCAGGACATAATGTTGTCAATCGACTTAAGCCATTTCCCACGTTCAATACTACAAGGAAACATTCACCCGAGGCTAGCGCTAATTTGTGGCACGCGTCCGCCCAGGTTAATGAGCCCTCTGAGGCACCCAGCGCGCACGAGTATGACTGTGCCACCGGCGAGCCGAACTGGGCTGCCACACGCGACCGCGCGGCCTGACAAGCGAGCTCAAGCCGTGGGCATGGCCAGTTGAAAGACACAGGTAACAAGCATGGCTCGTCTGTACGAAGAACTATGGAATAGGGAAGGAAAAGATAGCGGAAGAAGCATGTGACAGAAGCATATGACTTAACAGGAAGACGAAAAACACATCACAATGAGGCGGATAAATATTAATAGAGGGCACGAAAGGAGGGATGCCGAAGGTGAGACAGACGAAATGGAGTCGGGGAAGGAGGGAGGCAGAAACATGGTGGAGAAGGTGATGTGGAAAAGAGAAGGGAACACCACTGTCGATCACCAGGATACGAGCGATAGTGCTTTATATTTTCCGGGTCTCATGTAGTGCACATATACTCAAATGAAACTCAGAATAGGCTGAGTCCCTATTGTTCTAAAGGCCCTTCTAAGCACGACTGGGTGTGCCATATAGGTGCAGTAGGCTAGGTCACCGTCGGGACATTTCTGGTAGGTCGAACTTTCAGCGGCTCCGCACAGACGCGTGGCGTCACTCGAACTTGTTACGGTCGTCACTGAGGCGCCGCCAGCAGGGCATTTAAAATTGTATCGACAGAACGTGGCGGTCATAACTAATCTAGACAACAAATATAAATATCATAAAATGTGTGTTCCGCTTACCAAGTTGTAATGTGGTAAGGCACTCTCAGCTTGTGGTGCGCCAACTCGCGCCCCATGTGGGCCTCCAACGACGTCGACACATTAAATTGACGGGCATATTCACCAGATGTTTTCGCCGGGTTAGCCCTTTTAAGCGACCTCCTGGTGACACTTAACCAACCAAAGCATAGTTACATTCCACAGAATAGCGATAACGTCCTGCAACACGACGTTACCCCGTGGCGTAAGCCGGAGGTGTATGTGAGCTTTCCTGTACTTGACATTGGCTGTTTATCAAGCACTTGAATCTCTCCAAACAGCAGCTGTAGAGGCAAATGAATTTTCGATGCACATCAGACCCTCAACCATCACGATACTCTGCTCTGTCAAGACAAGAATTTCTAAAATGCAATCGCCATGACTGCATGTCAGCTGCAGGTCCATGGCATAGCCAAATCCCACGCTTATGACTGCCTATGACGAACTGGTATAAACACAACCGCAAACATCTCGTCACTTGGTGTTATCTGGCGTGTTCATCCCTCCCCAAAAAAATACCCATTTCCTTCGTCCGTTGGATGGCTTTCAGCATTGCCTCAAATTTCGGATGCTCCAAACCTTGCTGTTTTGAAGAAAAAAACAATGTGCTCCTGAAGGTCGAAGGCAATGAGGTCCGACTAATGAGATCGCACTGCAACCCCTCTGTGTCTAGTGCTTGCTTCAGCTGAATAAAATTTTCTGATTTTAAGCTTCAACAGCACCACAGTTCCATCCTTCAATTTAGGTTTCCTCAAACTATTTGGACTTCAACTTGTTATCCTACACCATTTCTAGTGCGGAAAAAAACAAGGAACTGCAAAATTATCGGCGTCATTCAGTAATCGAATTATTCCGTGTTTAGGCAAGACCTTCATGCATTAAGAACAGGTTCCAGCTGGTCAAAATGTCCCGGTTGCCGCCTTTAACCAGTTCAACTTTCGAACGCTGTTCCTGGATGGCAATACCACATATGCGGCGAGCAACGCAAATGGCTGCACAACCCTCTCCGAGATAGCTGCGGTGGCGCAAAGCAGAGAGAAAACAGCAGACTGACGCGCCATGGCACACTGACGTCGGCGCGCCGTAACTCCACGCTTCAATTACAGCGCTGCATTCAGAGTACCCACCCCAGCCTACGCAAACGCTATCTTACCGCATCTCGTTCTAGTGAGCAAGACAATTGATACACCCCCCTTCCCCTCCAAACACACAATGAAACATAGCCAGCATCCTCACGGACCTTTAAGCTGCCCAGCATAAGCCAAAGCACGAGCGATAACAGTCCGAAGAGACACACTCGAAACGGCTCAGACCCGGATCTCACCTGAAGCACAAACTTTGGTCAATGTAGCGCTTGGCCACGTTGGCTTGGAAGTCAGCTGACTCGAGGAAGCGCAACAGGAACTCGTATATGAGCTGAAGATGAGGCCAGGCCGCCTCCAGCGTCGGCTCGTCCTCCTCCGGATCAAACTCGGCACCGGACGGGTTGGACGACGGCGGCAGCGTCCGGAACAGGTTCATCGTCACCTGGCCGGCCGATCGCGCTGTGTCATGTATTCAGACACAACGCAAGCATCACCACGCCGGCAACGCATCGTGTGGACTATGGGGTGACATGTAGCGAAAGAAAACAAGTCAAATGCAGGTGTGTAGATTCCTACTCCATTGAAGGGACATTCAGCCCCCCGCATCTTAAGAAAGAGGTAGACCAAGAAGTGGGCCATCGGTGCTGTGTGGAGTAAGGCGGGATTTGAGGATCACTTAATTAAAGGATCAGCCATCGCGGACCATGCTTAAGTATGTACGGTATGTAAGCACTGCATAATCAACACAGATGCGACCACGGTAACGGAGTTTGTTTTGTCACGTCAGCATCAAGGATGCCACCAAACGTTTTTAACATATTTCGAGAACTTCGGTAGAAAGACAACTGGCGTCACCTCAGTCAATAAAAACATTATCTTGCTAACATCCGGGCAACAACGACTTTATCAAAATATGCGTTTTCATAAAGTTGATTTCAAGTATCTGCAAACCTTTTCTCGCCAAAAATCGCCCACAAAAGCTGTGTGCTTAAAACAATAACAGACAAAAACTAATATTCAAACAACTTTGCACATCAGTACATTGTGGAAGAGTACTTTGAAATCAATATACCTCACAAATTCAAGGGGAGCTTTCTGAAACAGGACACACCTTTAAACAAAGACAAAATCTGGGAAAATACGCACAGTTGAAGCCACTGAAATGTTGATAACTTGTGTTGATTTGCCTTGAGCCAAAATCCAGCCAGTCACTGTGGCTATTCAACGAGCAACAATCCTGAGATGATGCGCAGAGGTGCTGAACGCCGGCTCACCATCTGGACGACCTCCGGGTAGATGTTCTCGGTGATGACGCCGCGCTGCGTGGTGACGTACTCGATCATCTCCTGCAGCGCCTGCCGCTTCACCTCCTTCCACTTCAGGTCGGAGAGGGGGTCCGAGATGAAGTCGACAGCACGCAACACTGGCGGATCTTTTGAATGAACAGCTCTTACCGCTTCGCCCCGCCGCCACCCTGTAACGCACGTGCACACACGCACACAAACATTAATGAACATCGCCACAACGTAGGCATTCCGTATGCGAACAACATATGTGAATGACAGGGTAAAGGGCAATAGCTGCTAGCGTAGGAGGACATGACATGGTTTTTCGACAGACTGGTATTAGTCGTCATCAACACGTTACGAAATGCAGTGTGAAAGCTTTTCTATAACATGATTTTGGGTTGAATCTTTACATAGGTCTTCGGACGTTTCGGATAAAACGCTCGATCGGACGATAGGTCTTATTGTATAGAAAACGTTCAACTATGTCATATTTTGACGAACGCGTCCAATCGCATTTGGGCAACAACATAAGAGCATCGGGCATAACGGAAAGAAATACATGATAACAAAACCTCGTTTGCCAAGCCGGCCATTAAAATGCCACGAGAAGCCACACAAATATTTGTTTGTGTGCTTCGCAACACCTCATGCTTAAGAAATCTGCAAAATAAAATCATTCTCCAAATCTGAATAAAATCACAAAGATCTTCAAGGGATAAGCCACCAAAGCCTTTCAGATCCATCACGGAAATTGCATCCCTTTGCCATCCAACAAGAGTTCAAAGCTCTGTGCTGGCAGAGTGAAGATCGCGAAGCAACTCTGCTCAGGCACCCTGCTGGCACCCGCCTCAAAGGAGAAGCAGAGCATAGCCCTGCTCAAATTCACCTGATTTTTTAACTGAGCCGCAACAGAAGTTATGGCCGCCAGTCTGAACATCGCTGCAGCCGTCATGTACCGATTTGTGTATCATTGGCCCGTGGTTTTTATTGTTTATTTCAATTTCCATACTCGCATACGGAGCTTTTCTAGTTTTTTTTTCTATTTTCATTCACACTTCCGTCATAACTCGCACCACTACCCACATTCCTGCACTGCATAGCACAAAATGTGATTGTGTTCGAAACTTGCACTCAACGCATCAAAATGGTCGCCGGCTGACTGGCGACCGCTGATGCCCCGAATCAAACTTACGCACGCCAGACATGACAATTTCGATCTTCGCATTTGTTCTTGGCGTTGAGCACCACGTGGCCAATGAGGTGGCGGTATTTGCGTGGCTTTCGATGGCATGAATGCCCGGGTGACTTGAAAAAGTTGTCTTTACATTGCACCTTGCACAAAGCGCACACCACTGAAACGCCACATGAACCGCACTTAAGTTAAGACTGAGCTTCGCTGTGAGCTTACCTCATGTCTGATAATTGTTTCCATATCTTCAAATGTGGAGCATTCCCTTTAAGCTATTTGGTTCCCAGTCTCATGCCCACCATAACTAGCAAGACAACTCAAATGCCAAATTCATATAATAAAACGCGGTTCGCGTTCTACATAACTAGCAAGACTGCTCAAATGCCAAATTCATATAATAAAACGCGGTTCGCGTTCTATGTTAATTGGTTGAAAGAATAGAAATGTGTTGAACTGTTGAAGGCAAACTGCTGGCCGCTGATGCACCGATTCGCGCTGACGTACTCCAGACACGAACAAGTCATTAGTCATATGTTCCTTGCCCCTGTAGTAGTCGTTGCGCCATAATTTATGTGGCCTATCTGTGACGTCATACATCTCAGAGTGACTTCAAAATAGACGACGCGAAAGTCTGCGCAAGTATGTAAACGCCTAGCTCAGAAGCGGGATAAGTTGAAGTCTAAAAAGGACAATAATGTAAACTACAGGGGATGCTACTAAAAATGCGCATCTCAATTCAACTCAAAACCCCATACGAATAAACCGCCTCTCACACAGACCTGCAAAACCTTCCCAGCTCGCTGTGATCGGCACTGACCTTTGAAGCTCGGCAGCTTTCCCAGCTCCCTGTGATCGGCACTGACCTTTGAAGCTCGGCAGCTTTCCCAGCTCCCTGTGATCGGCACTGACCTTTGAAGCTCGGCAGCTTTCCCAGCTCCCTGTGATCGGCACTGACCTTTGAAGCTCGGCAGCTTTTCCAGCTCCCTGTTCCGCGGCAGGTTGAAACGGGACGAGCTCTGTCGCCGGTCCTTGCGAATCATCGGACTGGCACCATACGGCACCTTGCTCAGCGCCGTGGGAGGCGGCGCCGCCTGCCGGTCCGGCCGCCGCCCGCTGGCTGGAGCCCTGATGGCCGAGAAGAGGGCGCGGCTCAGACAACCTCTCGACGCCCAGGCCGTGCCACCCGACGCAGACCGCAATGACGGGTGGTCGGATCGGGTCACAGCGACGTCACACTGGTCACAACGGGTCACACTGAGCTTCGGATACCGCCCAACGCCATGGCTGCATCGAAACGGAGCCGTGAGCTGTTTCAGCTCGGACAATACGCCGCATATTCGATGCAGAACCGATTTAGTTTTTGGTAGGTCGTGGGATGCTACGCATCAGGACATGCCGTTCTCACGCTAAAAAACTGCCGCGCGCGATTATCGAATTGCACGTCGCATGTTTGAAGGTGAAGGATAGTGCCTTTAAAATGCTTAAAAGCCGTTCAGGTGGTGAAGCTGTCGAACCCGTGACTACGTTGGGGCACTAGCCCGCTAACGTGGGCACCCAAAGGGCTCGCGTCCCTGTCATTTACAAGTCCGAACCTTTGGAGCGAAAGCAGTTCTGGGCTGAGCTTATGCCAAGCAGTGCTTGTTATGTCCGTCCGAGCCCCCGTGTCCGATCGTAAAATTCCAGCTCAACAGCAGGATTTCGCGGCGTTAATGGTGCATTGCTTCCACCGCTAGCTCCTCCCTTGGCATTGGCCACCTGTTGCTCAGCCAGAAGATGTCGCTACTGTGGGACAGCTTGGCCATATCAAACCTCACTGGGTCACCCTTCGAAGAGGCATTCGATTACATGCCCGATCGGCCTGGAGCGTGGACCGAATTCTCCAACCTGAGGACGAGTGAACACAACCCTCCCGTTCGCACCCGGTGTGAATTTCCCAGGAACATTTTCCACGTAACTACGAACGCAGCCGACGCCTCTTGGATGCTCTTTGAACCACAAAAAATTAATTCACAAATACAGAAATGGCAACCAACCGGTGTATTTGCCAGTTGTTCTTTGTCAGGCACAACATCACAAATGGGTTTTTGAACGGGTCTGACGGTTTCCCTTTTTATTAGTTTGATGTCTACCAACGTATCACAACAAAACCCCGAACTTCATGTTCATCAGCGTATCCCAGCACAATAATTCACACGTCACGTATTACAACAAAATTACCCCCCACGCTACACATTACAACATTATTCCCACGTTGAAACCTGCCGTGGTAGATCGTCAAGATAAAGGTCAAATACAATGCGAGTTCCCTGCGCCTCTTTACTATCAGTAAGTGTGCGCAATATGGTGACTTAGATTTAGGCCATGGAATGAAATTTTGCTTTAGCGACAAAGCCGCTGTCCCCTGTATATTATAGCGCAGGCAGGGGGCACAGAGGCACGTGTCCTTTCCTCCAGTCCCCCTCTAGGTCTCGAAGGGCCCGAAAAGCCCCTCGAGATTGACGACACAGAGCCTCATTTAAGGGCCCGAAGTCTCACCGGAGTTGTGTAAAGGGTGCTGGCCCGCATGACCGGCCCTTAAATGTCGGTCAAAAGGCGCTTCGCGCCGATCGGGCGCTTTAAGCAGACGAAGGCCTCTACGTCGATCAGTACAACGAACCGCCAGTGTCGAACAGTCTGCTCCGTGTCGGTCTGAGCACTGGAGCCAATTTCTCAGGAGCGGACATTTCCCACGGAACCCCCTGGGTCGATGAGGGCTTCTCCATCAGTCATGCACCACCAGCACCGAACAGTCAGCTCCGTGTCCTTCTGAGCCAGACGACCCATTTCCCAACCAGGGACAAGAACAGGGCCCGCGATTTGCATTGGTCAGGACCCTGAGTCAATGAGAGCCCAGGCTGTCTGCCCATCATTGGATTTCTGCGGCGATAAGGGATCTATTTGCGTCAGTGCGGGCCCGTGTTAATACAACATGTAGGGATGGCATTTCGTGGCTCAACATGAAAACCACACCGTGTGAGTTGAAAAGCATGAAAATCCCACATTAAAAGCCCTCGAGCTTTTGGGCCAAAACAAAACTATCGTCGCTCCCACCCTCAGCTACCGTCAGATTTAGCTCCCCACAACTCTTTTCTCGTCTCTGTAAAACAACATTTCAAATTAAACACGCGCTCGGGTGGGGGTCAAATTGACCCCCAAAGGTTTTTCCAGAATAGTTTCCGAACGGTGCGGCGTAGCCGCGCCACATTTTGCATAACTGTAGACAATTAAATAGCGAGTCGTCTGGCAGCAACAATTTTGGTGTACCTTGTAAAATTGCTGACCTTGAAGGATTTTCATGCATGGCAAGTCGAAGTCAGACCATTATTTCAGCGAAGGCGATTTCTAGGGAATCGTTCAATCTGATCCAACAGCGGAGTGCTAGACGAAGCTATACATCGCTGAGATACTTTCTTCGGCAACCCAACAATTGAATGAACAAATCACACTGACCTAAGCTCAGTTACGAAGGTCAGACCAGGCTCAAAATCAACCTGCTTTATTACTCTGGGGCTTCCTGTGTGGACTAGTTTCTGGTGCTCATTTCGATTTTATTGATAACAGGAACCACATTATACACCTTCCGAAGACTTTTTTAAGGTCAGAATAGGCCACAGACCTAGAATGACCCAGTTCCACATTTTGTTTTTGGGAACATACTGCCTAGCGTAGTCTATGTCGCTTATCCAAATGCAAGAGTCAAAGCGGTCTTGAATGATTTTGGTCACCATGAGCTTCAAAAGGTCAAACGAGGACAATGACCCTTGCTTGAGCATGTGGACTTCTGCATAGAACAGCTATCTGGGTTCCAGTGGCCCTTTTGAGACCAACCAGTAATTTGATCTTGTTTGACTTTATTTGACCAGGCCATGGCCTAGGAGCCTCAAACTTTGACCTAAGTGAGTTCACGTACAGGTCAACACACCCTGTGAATTTGGTGTCTCTAGCTCTTTTAGTTCCTGAGATCTCAAGCGCGGGGGGGGTCAAATTGACCGCCCCCCCCCGACCCGAGCGAAGGGCTTCCAACCGGCCACCCGGGCAAGTGTTAAGGTCCAGCGTTGTGACACGCCCCGCGCGAATCGCAAACGATTGGGAAACTTACGGAACGGGGCTTCCAGGGATCGTTTCAAGCGGGGTGGGAGCGGAAATTCGCTATACAAGGTGACTTTCGAAGGGGATGGCGCCAAATTTCGATGATGCACGTTTCGTTCTTTTTACAGGCGTAGTCTCCGACGCTTGTGAATCGTAACTGCCATCCTAATCTGTACCTTAAAACATACGAACACTCATTTAGCTGCGTTCAGGGAATGGATTACGTCAGAGCTTTTGCATCATGCACAGCTAATACACTTTCCAACTAAGCAATGTTCGTCAGATTGCGATAATTATCAGCCCAATACAGTGTGCATTGCCTTACATCATCATTTAAGGATGGCGTTGCTTCCTCTTGGCCTTCTTGCTGGAGTCCTGAAACAAACGTATATCCAGTGAATTCAACATAAATTCGTTCATTTTGTGTTGTACCAGAAATCAAATCGAAACGCCATAGATCAAGCCGCCAAAATAAAGAAAGTGATGGAAAGTGTCGTGACAAAGCAGAGCATTAGTCAGCTTGGCTCTTCACCACAAAAGTCGCACGCCTCATCGTGCGAACTGCAGGGCCGTTGATTTGAGTAAATGCGAGAACCGAGGGCCCCACAGCTAATCTCCCACAAATGTGGTTCTCAACGGATGTATGAAGTCCACACAGCGCTGATGAACGACGATGTTAACGTGTAGTTTGTTTTTGCATTACTTGTCAAACATTTTTATTTGAGCAACATGCTACAGTCTGCATGGTTGCGACGCAAGAACAAGGCATCAAAATTAATTCGTTATGCTCCAGAGATGCATCTGTGCAGTGCGCAAAACAATAAGAGTGCTGCTCACAGATTTTGTAACAATGCACCAAAACATTAAGTGAAGAACCAACAGGTGATATGTTAGTGTGGGATGATGATTAGTGGTGGATTCCGCGCCAGCACGGAAACGGCACGTCTTCTAGTGTCTGTATGGTTACGACAAAATTTGTTGATTAGGGTTCAACATTGCATGCATTCGATGCACTTATATATACGTGTCTGTTCTTTATATTTTCGCTATGAACACGTGTGCGCAAGCAAGCATGATCAAGCACATAAAACATTTTTCATACGAGGAAGCAAGTGTCCTATCCTTGAATGCGTCACCGGCTTATACCATGTCAGTAGCAAGTACAATTAAAATATTAGTTTGCATCTACCCGAGGGATTTTGCAAACCCCCTCGGGCGTTTGCGAATTCCCTGACCATCCAGGTGACTTGTCAACTCATTATACGCAAACTCCGGGGTAGATCAGGGGGTATTCACTGGTTATCTCGCATTTCCGAATTTTTCACTCACTGATAAACATGCACGGCCCATGGGCCCATGCATTCAATGCGGCGAGTCAATTTCTCGTCCTGAACTTGTTATAACTTCTGTTTACGGCGTAAACATGCAGATGCATTATATCTATTCCCCAACCCTCCGACCACACCCAACCCATACGAAACTCATCCAGATCGTCGTTTATATATATACATATATATATATATATATATATATATATATATATATATACGTATATATATATATATATATATATATATATATACGCCAAACGGAAGCAGCCTTTTCTGGGGAAACAATGTAACGTTTCAAAAAGTGCGATGAATGCTATCGCGCACTTCCTGCGGAAACCGCCGACGCTGTGCCGCCCATCTCTAACATGTCAACACAAGCTCATTTACGGAGTGCATCATACGCACTTTGGTCTGCTGACAGATCTTTATTCCCCAAAATGAGTGTTCTACATTAGTACGGGGTTTTGAACTGAAATAGCCATTTTGAAGGCCTTTCAGTGTTGTTCATGATCCTGCCCTTCTTAAGACCTAAGCCCCTCTGGTTTCTGAGCTACACATCCGCGAAAATGGGGAAAGTATAACTGGGAAAGTATTTCGAAGTCACACTGGTATTCATGTTCGCAAGCGCGATTTCCAGATATAGCGGCCGTCAAGTGGCTTTCAATCAATGCTGTGCAAGGTACAGTGACGCAATGAAACCATGATGCATTGAAGAACGTATTTACTAGACAGATAATTACGCTGTCTTGAGCAGTCTTTTCCACTTAAAAAGTATACCAAAGGTTATAAGTGAGCTTGTTTCATCATATCTGATAATTGCTTCGACATCTTGAAACGCGAAACATTTCCTTTTAGTGATGCATCGCCTTTACATTCGCATTTATGCATTGCACCAATATCCTCTCTTGTTTGGGGGCTGATAGCAACCTCTCTTCTCCTGAGGTGACCAAGGTGAGAAGGAATTCGGTGACCTCTAAGGAAATCGCACCGATTCTTCAGCATCTGCCTCATTGACATTTCACGCGGCCCGTACATTTTTTCAGCACTTTTGTCTAAAAAGGCAGTAACCTATAACCTGTTTGTCAAGGTCCGGTTGGCTGGGTTTCTCGCCTCCGCGACAATACAGCTCACTAGATGGCACTTGAGAAGTGTAAGCTGTTTGCTCTACAAATATAATTGTCTTCGTCACAAGTGAGGCCAAGCCTGCTTGTGTATTAGAGTCAGGGGTCAGCTCCTCAAAGGACTGAATCACGATGAAGAGGTAGATGTCATCTAGTCAAAGAGTAGTGAATCATTGGAATGAACTGTTAACCTGAAGTTGTGGGTAGTCACTCAACAGCAACATTTAAGAAATGTTTGGACAAGTTCTATTGTTCTAAGGATCTCATTTATAGCTAAATTCAGGCATGTCCGGTGGTAAGATATGTTTAGGGATGTGCGCGGGACCCTACGTAGGACAACCTCAATTTGCCCCTGTGGTTCATTATTAGCCTAATGCGGTTATGTATTTATGGCTGTCTTTATGACAGTTATGATTGTTTTGGCCTTCATTGCCACATGACAATAGAATACCAGGAACTGAGTGACATTATGGCATCAGGGATGCTTTGGTAACCTTGCAGCAGTCTACACAAATCAACCAAATGATCCTCAAGCTGGCTATTTCAGTTAAAAGCCCCACGCAAATGTGAAACACTCCTTTTTATATGCACCAAAAGTTACCAGTGAGCTTTTTTCAGCATACCTGATGCTTGCTCCAATATGTTTGAATGTTGTAGTTCTTTTAACATTGCATTTGAATATTCCATTTAAAAAGGGCTGGCCATGAAAGAGAAGGGTTTGAAACAAACTTCATCATGAACACCTCTACACCACAAAGAACCTCCACACTTGCAATAATGATTAGAGCTTACTTTGCTCCCATTCATCCCTCCACCTTCCTGATACAAGATTATACAGTTTCAGGCACTCTTAAAGTCATCATCTAGTCCTGTAAGGCTTACTAGGGATTCATGAACCAGTTAGCCACCACATGCTTGCTTGCTTGCTTGTGGTTCCATGCATTGTAAACAGCTGTACATAATAACAGCCTAAAAATTATGCATGCTATAGGTTTGGATTTTGTGGATCAAGCAATGGATTGATACATGGACATGCGATAGGGATGCAATAACAAAATGTGATAGGCAACATTTCTGATATGTGTGGGGCAAAATAGAAAACAATGAGGCACACATAGCATACAATTGTAACAGTTGTGGAAGTCTGCTTTTGACATGCAGGAAGTGATTCTTACAATAACACACTGTCATTTCCATATATCATCTGTATTTCTACCCAGTTATGTTCTGCATTAGCATACCT